TATGTTCTATGAAGTATACATATATACGTAAATATGTTCGCCAAATCAAAGTCAATGCTAAGCATAGGTCACCGTGATCCGTGACATCAAGTCGGTTATTTTGAAGAAAATGACCAACGGCTACATCTATATACACGAATGTACATGTATGCGTACTATACTTGTATGCACATAGACTTACAGATACATACAGGTATGTATATGTATCCATGTATATATATCTATATAAACATATATATATATATATATATGTTCTATGAAGTATACATATATACGTAAATATGTTCGCCAAATCAAAGTCAATGCTAAGCATAGGTCACCGTGATCAGTGACAGCAAATCGGTTATTTCGAAGAAAATGACCAACGGCTACACCTTCCCATAGGCATTTGCACCTGATGTCCTCTCACAGACAAACAGCAACAGGAGTACGCTATAGATATTATATGTCTGTCAGAATCAGGATAATAGCATTGACTGTCGCTCGTTGACATGCACAACTCTCTAAGCGCACCACCACTAGTACTGGTTGCGACAGGGATCCTACCACTATTATAGGTGTAGGCAATGCAGGATTTTCCAGTGTCTGTAACTTCGATATCGTAAAATGGCGCTTGAGACAAACAATTTTTAGCATGAATCCTGTTAATAAAAGTGCGTGACCCGTGAGTACACATACTGACGGTCAAAATCTCTTTGGTGGATAGTACAGCTATAACGAATTTCAAAATATGACGCATACTTCACGGGTTTCACGCATTTCGGCACTGAGTGACATAGGGTGCTGTTACTGCGTTCTGAACTTAGTTACTGACGAAAGTAAAATCCGGGTGGTGTATGCACACTGCTGGTCCTTTCCGTTATGGTGCCACCTTGCATCTGCCTAAGTTTTTCCTTGACAAATTCTCATACAGCGGGTAGTTGTTCTTCAGAGTGGGCAGTGCTATAGATCTTAAGAGGAATAGTACCAGTCCTCTATGGGGTTACGGTGTCACATACTCTATGGTTTTGCGGCCTTTTATGTCGGCCCTGCATATATGCGCACATGCACCAAGTCATGCTCGAATCTACATGCTGACGTTTTCTTTATATTCATGTCTATACTGAGTTGAACTGTCTGGGCCTCGAAAGCACGTGCATAGAGGCTGCTTATGATTAAAGTGTTGAAAATTAAGTGTATCTATGGCCGTGCTATACAGCATCGTACACCATTTGCTTACCACTAACATATTGTTCTTAAAATACCCTTCACGATTTGTTGGTCAAAATAGTCATGCACTGCTGTCATGACATCAGCGATGCCCACTTGCTACGTTTGTTAAAAATGCAAACAATTATTCAATGATAAATTTGCTTTCACAATCCATGCCCACTATAGCCAACTAGCCGGTCAAGTTCCAGACAAACGATGATCCATTCTTTAGGGTCGTTGACAGCATGCATTCACATTTACGTCAAATAGTGTTCCTCTTATAAGTCGCGGTACACATGTTTGTACATATGAAGGCTACACCAAAACAGTCATCGATACCTAAGATTCATAAACTATATTATCATACACGGGGTAGTAAAAACGAAAGTAAGAAACACCGATATATATACACAAGCAGACAAGCTCTCATAAACAAACATACATAACTAATATTGATAGAGTATAATAAATAAATGAAGAAATGATTTACATATATATATATATATATATATATGTGTGTGTGTGTGTGTGTGTGTGTGTTGTCTGCGTGTGTGTGTCTGTATAAATATATATGTATATATATATGTGTGTGTATATATATATATATGTATATGTATATATATATATATGTGTGTGTGTGTGTGTGTGTGTGTGTGTGTATAATATATATATATATATATATATAATATGATATTCTCTTATTGATTTATCTAGTATTTCTTATTGTATATCTATGTACTTTAATATTTAGATGTAAACGAGTTCGATAATACAGATTTCAGCTATTCAGCCCCGGCTGTAGTCATATATGCCTCCAGATGAGAAAACCTCATATATTTTTGTATGTTTACAGTGAGTCCCGAAGGTCAAGCGGGCGGTGGAACTGAAATCTTTCTAATACTCTCTAAGCTTCGCCACGCTGAAGGCGGCGTTGCGGCTATATATATTGAAGTCAACCTGGTCTAATACATTTTTCTATTCTATACATGGCTTTTCTCGACGTGATGTGTGGTACACTGATTCCCAACTACGTGCTGTTGTATACGCGTGAGCGTCACCTTTTCTCGAGCACATGCACCTAGACATCAACATCGATATCGCCGGTGGGCATCTTAGCCTGGTCGTCGGTGATATCCCCAGTACTACAATACCCTTTGTATCCCTTATCATACATGCTTGGTTCATTGCGTTGCTTTGAACACTTCTGCTCTTTTTTAGTTTGTTTTCGTTGCTTCCAGATAATCGCAGTAGTACACAATGCGACCACCAACGTGAGCAGCACAATGCCTACGAAAGCGCCGATGATCAGACCTACACTGACTGCTGGCCCTGAGTTATCGTCGAGTTTTTTCCCTTTTAGAGTGTCGCCATTTGACGCGGCTACGATGTCCTGAGAAAGTCCAAAAGTACGTCCATTCTGCTCTAGGTATTCACTAACATCACTGTCCGTATACAACGGTGTGTCTGCGTGCTGTTCAGTGCATGTACCGTCGTACCAAACAGCCAGTAGTGGGAAGTGCTTAGCGCAGGCAGCCAGGCGTAGATCGCATTCATTGATATACGACTTCCCATCTGTGCCACACACCACTGCAAATTCACTGTCGTCACATTGGTCAGGACATGTGGTTGTAGTCCGCACAGTATCGCCATCAAACCCGTCACCTATTACGTCTTCAGCAGTAGCCTCATGTTCGCATACGCCCTCCGATACTACATACAGCCCCCAGCGGGTTTGGCATGCCTCCAACTCCATCACACATTTATTGGAGTAGGTCCTGGCATTACTCGCGCACACCGGTACGTATTGACGCGTACATATGCCGTCACATACAGGTGCCGGGGCTGGTCCAGTACAAGGCCCCTCGTGATAGAACGCAATGGAAAGATCGCCATAATTCATGCAAGAATCCAAGTTTAGCAAGCAACGGTTTTCGTATGTTTTGCCATTGATTGAGCATATGGGGGCGTCTTCGACTCTCTTCTCATCGCTACAGTCACTACAAGTAGTGGCGCTGACGGTGGCCATAGATTGAAGTAAGGGTATCAGTACTAGTAGCTGACGAAGCATGATTGCTGACTCACGATGCCGACTCTTGATTGCAGTACTAAATAGTGTTCATTCATATACGTGAATACTAAAATATAAATAGTGAGTTTAAACTCTGAAGTCTGGGCAGTTAAATACGCCTATCTCTATCTCTCCCGACTCCAGTTGTGCTGTCTTGCAACTTGCAAGAGACGAGATCTCGATACAAAACGACCGAGTCCTCGATTCACCAAAATAGTAAATAATACCGTTTAATATAGACTATTTAATACAGAGTATATAGCTATTTGTATACCATGTTTTTGGCCTCTCCTACAAAGCATATTTTGAATAGGAGCCTATAAATATTTGAGTTGCCATACACGTTGACCAATCCCAGGCCTCCAAATATGAATCAATCGTCTTAGCCAAAACCAACTTAAGAGCCAATTAATAATTGAGTTGCCATTCATGTCGAACATTCCAAGACGACCAGAAATTTAGCCATTGGCTCTTTTTGTTTTAGCTATGAAGGCATTGGAGGATGAACGTGAAGTGTGAACTAGCCCAACAGTTACGTTATGTTTTGATTTTCGTATTGAAGTCTTTTCCGGAGTCTTCTCTCTACTCTCCGTAGTAGTCTGAAGTCTTAACTCAGAAGTCTCTACCGTCTAAATAATACCTAACTACATACTATCATATGCTAAATAGTAGTAGTCTCAACTCTCTCTCTCTCTCTCTCTCTCTCTCTAGTAGATGACTATGTAGATGCACCCAGCCCTGTGTGCTGAAATCCGGACTACTACATCTCTCATTCGTCCGGCCATGGAAGCACTCCCCAGGCGTTAGCTAACGGCTATCTCCCCGTATAGTACCTTGTAATCTTTGGTACAAACGCATTCTTTTAGCTACGGGGATCTCACACTCGCGCTGTGTGTTGGACGGTTGGGATCTGCTACAGTGCTAGGGCCACCCTCTCTGCTGTAATAAATGTTGACAAAATACGTATATACATCT